GCAAGGAACGCCGCTGGAACTTCTCGGGGGGACTCGGGGCTCGCCCAGGTCCTGAAAATCAGCGAAATACACGTTTTAGATCGCGAGCCGATACGCTCCCCTCGCGATTGGCTGCCCCCGGTTACCTCTCGCCGCTTCTAAACGCTCGAGTCGCTCGCAGGGAAGCCGGCCTCGTCCTCTCTTCGTCGCGCGCGAAGCGGTGCGAAGGACTGAAACGCGTGAGAGAGAGAGACGGACGATTCAAATCGCGCCCGTGGCAAGATGGCGGGGGCGTCGACGGGCGCGCTTCCATGAGTCTGGGGACATCTGGTGAATTCCCCCGGCGAGCGGCCAATCGCGCGTCGGGACGCGCCGCCCCGAAATGTCCCCAGCTGCGATGTTTATGAACGTCCGAAGCGTTGGTATCGTCGCGAGAGCGCCCGAACGTTATTGTCGTTATTTGCCATTTGCCGTGAACGCGGACGTCGGCGGGTGTCGTGTGCGCAGCGCGGATTCGAGCTTCGTAGAGGCTTTTCCCCGCAGGGAGGGTTGAATTCTCCGGGCGGTAACTATCCACGAGGTTCCCGCGTTCACCCTACGTCGCACCCGCATCGATTACACATTGCGCACACACGCACGCACACCCCCCCCCCCCACCCCCGCGCGTACACTCTCCGATTTTCGAGCGATTCCCAACCATGTAACGTTTGTGCACTTCTCCTTTTACGATTGAGACTGACCGTACTCATGCTCTCTTCGTGTTAAGACAGATGCTATTTTGTTGAGAAGAAGCGCAGAGGTTTCGGAGCGGCGTGACACGTCCTTCGCGCGGGATTCATCGCGTCGTCGTGGTGGCTCGAATGGCGCGGCGCGCCGGACGCGTTTGATGAGCGGCACGACGAGCACGCCGGTCCGCGCGCGAGCATCGCGTTCTGCCCGGAGCCACGGGTCTTGGTGGGCGCGCTAGGACGCGACGAGCGCCGCCGCGATGATGCACAGACGGGGCGGCAAGCGGATCCGCATGGACGATCCGGTGCCGCCGGAGTACGAGACGCCGATGACGCCGATGACGCCGATGAACGACAACTCCGGCGGGGACGCCAACGACTACAACGCGTACGCGCCGTACAACCAGGCGTCCCAGACGCCGCTGCACAATCCCACGTAATGCGACTGTGGCGTTGTTATTGTTGTCAGTGGGTGAATTCCGTATCTTACGCTGCGGCGAAGATGCTGAAAGTTGGTAGCTCTGTCTCTTTCTAGCTGACCCCTAGGAGAGGCAGACACAGCCGCTCACTTAGCATTTTTGCTACGTCGCAGGATACATAGGTTGCGGTCAAGCTGCTGCTTCGATAAATGCTTCGAAGCGTTTCTCTTCTCTTTCTATCTTTGCTGAAAGAAAAGAGAAGAAGAATACTTTGTAACATTCGAAGCGACAGCTTGACCGCAGCCATAATTGACCCCCAGCTCCGGCTAAAGCTTGGTCGTAATTGCGGCGTATTGTTGTTTACAGTCCGGAGCATTATTCCTCCGAGAGCCACAGTTCGCCGGGCACTCAACAGCCGTACCAGGACCAGTCGGGAAACTTCGACGGCCAGACGCAGTTCGAAGCACCGGCGACGCCGGCGGCGTCCAACATGAGAATCACGAGGAACACGCGCGCCAGGATGCGTGGTGTGTACCAACTTTTTGGTCTATATTTACGTTGAAACAGGGTGTCAACCGTAATCTTTGCCTTTAAAGGTGGCATAGTGCAGCAACCCAAGTACAAAGAAGTCGACACGGACTACGTTCCGGTGCCCAGCAACAGAGGCAGAGGTGGCGGCGGACGAGGACGTAACAAAAGGGCGCACCATTCGCACAGTCTGGAGGACGAAGCTAGTCTTTATTACGTCATTAGAAATAATCGTTCTTCACTCACAGTAAGCTGATCTGTATAAGTAATGTGTGCACGAGAGTGAAAGTTACGTATCTAAACCTCCTCTGCAAATATCGTTTGGCAGACCATTGTTGACGACTGGATAGAAAAGTACAAAAGCAACAGGGAGAACGCGCTGCTCATGTTGATGCAGTTTTTCATCAACGCGAGCGGCTGCAAAGGGCGCATCACTTCCGAGATGCAGCTGACCATGGAGCATGTGGCGATTATTCGCAAGATGACTGAGGAATTCGACGAGGTATACTCCTCGGATTGTAATAACACGACGTGCGCGATGTGAACTTCAGTACGACACTTACGCAATTCTTTCTGTAGGAAAGCGGCGAGTATCCGTTGATAATGACGGGACAGCAGTGGAAAAAGTTCCGCGCGAATTTTTGCGAATTCGTTCAAATCCTCGTGCGACAATGTCAGTATTCGATCATCTATGATCAATTTTTAATGGATAACGTTATCTCTTTACTGACCGGATTGTCGGATTCACAAGTGAGGGCGTTTAGACATACTGCAACGCTTGCCGGTAAATTCTAATTCTTAATTGAAGCAACCGTGCTTAGGAATTTTATCGCAAAATCGATCGTACGCATTAACGAAAAAAATTTCATTTCCAGCCATGAAATTGATGACAGCCTTGGTAGACGTTGCTTTGACTGTATCCATAAATTTGGACAATACGCAACGGCAGTATGAAGCAGAGAGGCAAAAGGCTCGGGAGAAGAGGGCGGCAGACAGATTGGAGTCGTTGATGGCGAAGCGGAAGGAATTGGAAGAGAACATGGACGAAATAAAGAACATGCTCACGTATATGTTCAAATCTGTTTTTGTTCATAGGTATAGGGATACCTTGCCGGAAATACGCGCGATTTGCATGGCAGAGATCGGAGTCTGGATGAAGAAGTTTCATCAAAATTTCTTAGACGATTCCTATTTGAAATATATTGGTACAGAACATTTTTATTATTCACGAACGTTGAGATGAAAGTCGCGCGTTTAATGCATTTTTCACGTTTTGACATGAATCTTGCAGGCTGGACTTTGCATGATAAAGTTGGGGAAGTTCGACTCAAGTGCTTGCAGGCGTTGCAACCGTTGTATGCCTCGGAGGAATTAAAGACAAAGCTGGAGTTGTTCACGAGCAAGTTCAAGGATCGAATCGTCGCGATGACGTTGGACAAGGAATACGATGTGGCGGTGCAGGCCGTGAAGCTGGTTATCTCGATCTTGAAGCATCACAGAGAGATCCTCACTGACAAAGACTGCGAGCACGTGTACGAGCTTGTTTATTCGTCACATCGTGCGGTCGCGCAGGCGGCCGGCGAATTTCTGAATGAGCGTTTATTTCGTCTGGACGATCAAGCCACGGCGGGTGTTAAGACCAGACGCGGCAAGAAACGATTGCCGTATACGCCACTTATACGCGATCTTGTTCTGTTCTTCATTGAATCCGAGTTACACGAGCATGGAGCGTATCTAGTTGATTCTCTAATCGAAACTAATCAAATGATGAAGGATTGGGAGTGTATGACGGATCTCCTATTGGAGGAGGCTGGTCCCGATGAGGAAGCGTTGGACAACCAGAAAGAAACGTCCCTCATTGAATTGATGGTGTGTTGTATAAAGCAAGCTGCCACGGGCGAAGCACCGGTCGGCCGCGGACCCACGCGAAAAATTTTGTCGGTTAAAGAACTCAAGCAAGTTTTCGATGATAAGCAAAAATTGACAGAGCATTTCATTCAAACATTACCATTGTTACTCGACAAGTACAGGGCAGATCCTGAAAAACTCGCCAACTTACTCGCAATCCCACAGTATTTCGACCTGGATATTTACACAAAATCTAGGCAGGAAATGAATTTAGACTCTCTATTAAGTAAAATTCACACAATCGTAGAGAAGATGCACGATACCGAGGTTCTAGATACGGCGGCTAAAACATTAGAACACATGTGCGTGGAAGGACACGCTATCTTCACTAGGTATATATTTTTTTTTCAAATCATGCATATTATGTTATATATCTGTTTAAAGCGTTTAAAATTCAAATTATTTTTTTTATAGATGTGATGTCGCTCGTTCAACCTTAATCGACTCCATTGTAAATAAATATAAAGAAGCGATTGATGAGTATAGAAATTTAATTGAGGGAGATGAGGAACCAGACGAGGATGAAATATTTAACGTTGTCCAATCACTCAAAAAAGTTTCGATATTTTATTCCTGTCACAATATGAATCCATGGGGAATATGGGATTCATTGTACAAAGATATTGAGGATGCGAAGGATCCTTCAAGGTAGGTTTTCTTGTACTTTGGATGGTTACACAAAGTATTTCTTATACATGTAAATTATAATTATCTATTTGTAGAAGCTTGCCAGACAAAGCAGTTAAATACTGTATAAGCGCATGCTACTTCGCCATTTTATGGGGCGAAAATCATTTGATGGAAGCTGTGGACTCTGGAAATCGTGGCGAAGATGAATGCCGGCAGTTGAAGGAGCGATTGCATTCATTTATGGGCTCCATGCGCCATTTCGTCAGTGGCGATAGTAGCAGCGCGGTAATTATAATTTTTACACGAATTCGAAAATGATCAAAGTCACGTTATGAAATCTTTTATAAGAGATATTTATTTTATGTTAAACAGCCATCGCCGCCGATCTTAAGGGAAGTTGCTTACAACACAATATGTGATTTGTTGGTTGTATTTTGCAATCAACTGATTACGCATTCTAACCCCTTGGTACATCAGTTGGTGTATGAGCCAGACCAAGCGATGCAAAACATGCTCAATAGATTTATACAAGAGTATGTTTTCTTCGAGGAAGAAGATGGTAAATAATTTATTATTGTAAATACATTTTATTGGTACAGGGCGTTTTTGAAGGAACGTGCCCAAACCTCTTACAACACCTCTCTCTATATCCATTTCTCTATGTGGCGATCGAACGAAAAACCAACAATGTTTTGTTTGGTTTTGAATCCAGGTCTTCGGGTTACCAGACCAGCGCACAATCCTCTGCGCCACGATCGCCACTAAAATAATTATTTTTATTTGAATTTTCGTCCGAAGAAATCGAGTATCATGATCCAGTTATGTACAGTAACTTTTTCGTTTTGGTTCTTATTTCTATCACGGGATATCTTTTGTATACAAAATTTCTTATATGTGTGAAGCGATTTGTATATTGAACATACATATAAGAATAATATTAAAATACATTAATAGTAATTATTGAAATATATATAATATGAATTTTTATTTATTTGTAGAAGGGCATGATGAACACTCAAAAATTGAAGAACTGCATAAACGACGAAATTTCTTAGCTGGCTATTGCAAGTTAATAGTATATAATATGATTCCCACAAAAGCTGCGGCGGATGTATTCAAGCATTATGTCAAATATTACAACGATTACGGCGACATCATTAAGACCACGTTGGGGAAAGCAAGAGATATCAATAAAACAAATTGTGCGCTAACGATGCAACAAAGCTTAAATATTTTGTACAACGAGATAATGTTCGAAAAGGGCAAGGTCAACAGAAACAGTGAAGAATTCACTGCGATAAAGGTGTGTAGCTATCGACATACCGTTTTGAACTGTAATAAAGTAAAATGTGCTAAAATTTCTCTAATCATGTCTAGGAACTTGCGAAACGATTCGCTTTATCCTTTGGCTTGGACGCCGTGAAAAATCGCGAAGCAATCACGGCCTTACACCGTGCGGGAGTGTTATTTGTCATTACTCCACCGGACGGTGTCGAACAGGATCCCACAGGCCCGCCGCCGAATTTACCATTCCTTGAGATACTGTCCGAATTTACGAATAAGCTTCTCAAACAGGATAAACGTTTGGTGTAAGTATTATTTATTAAACCAAATTTTTCCTCGTATTTTCCTTCTTACACGCTTTTTAAAATGTATCTTATTGCAGACTCAACTTTTTGGATAGACGGTTACAAGCTGGAATGCCATCTTCACGAGGGGAGGATTGGCAGCCTTTACTATTGTACAGAAATAGCTTGTTACACGGTGAAACTGATCAAGTCCCAGTTACAAGCAAACGAGCTTATACAAGACGCAAGAAAGATCACTTAGCAGGTAAAGGATTTTGATTCGCTATGGTTATTTTACACATGCATCTGATACATATATGCATGGAACGCAATTCTGCTTTTTCAAAATTAATTGAATTGGACAGGAAACTGGCAGTATATCATAATATGAATACATTCCTTTTTTTTTTGCCATTTCCATACGAAGATCATTTAATCATTTAATGTATGCTATAGAATCAGATTTAGACTCGGACTGGAACATTCACAAACATTGATAACTACAGAAATAATTGCGTTCGTAATTTTGATTGAAGAAGTATTAAGAGTCAAGCACTTTTAAGGTCTTCTGCGCCCTATCTTCATTGTCTAAACAAATATTTCTCATTGCAGAAGAAGAGGATGCCGATGAACCTGATGAAGGTTCTGATCACGAACTTGCTGGGTGAGTTGGATGTACGAAATAGAAAATTAAGAATCTTATATAATATTTTTTTTATGTTAAATTTGTTAGTATCTTAATTATAATTGCAAGTAACTGTTATATGTAATTGTTCGATAACAAAGAGAAAAAATCAGCAATAATTGATTTAATAGCGCTCGATTATCGTTGCAATAAAATTCAATAAAAACTAAATGCTTGTCTACTAGCTTCTGCAATGCGAACCACATTATAGACATATTTTTGTCATATGATTGTCATATGTATTATTTGTAAAACTGGAAGCGCAGATATGTCTCTAAGCACATACTAATGTGCTCCTTTTATTACTGCTATAAGACATTAATGTTGCTTGCAAAATGTAGACTTGTAGAAAGTGGTAGTTTTATTACTAATATTTTTATTTTATTGCTACTTTTTTATTAATGCTTTATTAATACTATGTATAATATAATCAAACTTTAATATATTACGAACCATCGCTATAAATTTGCGACAAAGATCTAGAATGCCAAATTGATGTGTATCTTAAACTTAATTATTATTTTGACTCATTAAAGTAAATTGATAATTATCATGATTTTATAATTTTCAAACATTAAAGTCGAAGCACTGTTGAGTGCGTGTGTATGTGTGTTTGTGAGAGAGAGACAGGGAGAAAGAGGGAATACGAGATCGAATCAAGTTATACATTTTTAATAAAAAAAATATTTGCGATCTTCTTGCAGTGTAACTGCATGCTTGTGCTTTAATACAGAAATATTTGCTATATAAATATCAACTTTAGATCGCTTATATTATAAAATATTTTGTATACATATACATATTTGCATGAGTAGTGAGTCTAACCGCTTGTTACAGGCGACCTGATCGTTACAAGAGTTAAAAAATATATTTTTAGATGAATATCGCATATGTACCTTAATATTTAAAAGTATATGTAAGGGACAAAAATTGTACAAGATATATATTCTCGATGTAATCTATTATACTTCGTGCCTATTTTAACAACAAATCATTTCTGAACTAGAATAAGAGGTTTATTAAGGAATATATAATATTGTCATATCATATTTTTGAGGTAATTGAAAAAGGTAATACATAGAGAACGATGTGTGTATATTAACGAGATAAATTCAAGTAAGCTTAAAAAGAAACTTTGTATTCTATTTATATATTAATAATACAAATTGGTGCGATAGATATATGAATAAATATTGCTTCGAATAAGACCTACTCCCAGCGCTCCTAAATCCTACTTTATCAAAATTGAAAATTAAAGAACCATTGAAAAGCGCGAGAAACATACTTTATTAATATATAGTAAAATAAAAGAATTGATCACTTGTGTGTGCTTTATATCTCCTGAAATTAATGATGCCTATGTTCCTTTTCACGACACGCCGTTCTCTATACCCATCACTTCACAAATATGTTATCACTATTCATCTACATCATCTCTCTTGATATTGTCACTTTGATTTTCATGTTTCGCATATCAGAAAGTAATATTCATAAGAAAATCTCTAAGTACATGTGTATGTACGGACTTTGTAGCTTTGAGTGTACAAAGCGATCGTACGCGACGTCTCATAATTATGATATTTTTGTCCCTTTATCTTGAGTAGTCAAAATAATTGCACTTCCACCTGAAAATGGGAATCGTTTTCATTTCAGCAAACAGAAGAAAAAGCGTGGTCCACGGAAGAATCAGTGAGTAATTAATTTTTTAATATTTTTATTGAATTAAATACAAACGGAACACGTAATGGCAGTAACGCACTATTTGAAGCATAGATTACTTTTAAATTGTAAAATACATTTGTCTGATAAACGTCAATATACTCATTTCATTTTTCAGAATACCGGTTATAACTAAAGTGGTGATAACACGTGGGCCCAGAACAAATGCTTTCTATGAAAATAATGATGCTGCACAAATGCAAACATCCCCTACAGCGGTCATAGAAGATACCTCGACGAGTCCTTCGCAAGACATTGATAACAGGCTTAAAACTTTACAGATACAGTCAAGGTCGTAAGTATATTTTGTCATGTATTATTTTTTTGCTTTGCGAATGTACAATAAACGGGACATAATTTTGAAGACGGCGAAATCAAGAGCATGTAGAGCACAGGGAATTGCGAAGAACTTCTAGAAACTCGGGGAGGTACGTCGAGGGGCAATATATGGTGAGTTCGTGCAACATTATGATGCCAATAAGTATATTGTCGCAAATTACATATTATGCATTGATTAAAATTAATTGCAGGAATCTGATTCCGAGTAAGAGACATCGTGATTCTTAAAAACTTCGCTGTCTGGTAATCTTAAATTCAGACGATTGGATTGTGATATTCAAAAGCAGCTATGCGATTTGAGAATTACAAAAAAACATACTTAATATGGATAATATAGAGCTTTCAGAGCGAGTATTACTATAATACGTTTTGATAGATGAGTACTATGTTACAAAGCAATATGTAAGAGAAAATTTTAATTTTTCAGCGGAATCAAGTTTTTTTAATTATAAATAATATATGTTATAAATGAAAACATGTATTTCCTTTTTATATAAAAAGAGTATTATAAGAGATATTATATCTTTCTGTCTTTGTCTCTCTATCAACTATTTAATGAATGTTTAAAATAAATAGGTACAACTTATTAGGTTAGTATAGTCATAAGATATTTTATTTGTAATGCATATGATAAACTGGATTATACTTTTACAATTACAATTGCTTTTCTTGTACATTTTGTGATAGTGCTCTGTACACTCGAATGTTTCATAAATTTATAAAATGTTAATTATTTATATATTACATTCTATTTACACATTATCACGCATCATTGCAAAGTTACAACATTCTCAACTCTCTTCCAACACAGAATAATGTCTAACATGATAAAAAAAAATAGAGATAGTCGTAGAGTAAAATTATTATAAATTCTTATTTCATGTAATCTATAACTGATATGCAATGTTTATATAGTATATCCGTGGTTTAGTTGTCGAATTCTTAGTTCATTGTTACGTTCAATATATTGTTACTTTTTTATATATAGTTGTGGCCGTAGTATTTATTCATCGATCCGATTGTAAACGGGATTTGCGAAAAAGATTACTGAGTCGACGACTTTTTGGTGTGCTAGTTGCGTTCTGTAAAAAAAATATGTTTAACATATTACTGTCGCTTAATACAAAGGTTTTTTTTTCGTACTCACTTCGTCTTGCCGTTTTAACGAAAATATGTTCCTTAGCGAGTGCGGAGTGGTCGTTGTCCTTCTGTCCACATTTCGCTCCCTCAAAACTCGTGCATTTGGGCTTTTTAATTCATTACCCTAATACAAATTGATAAAAGAATATTTAGTGACAATATTTATAATAATACGGTTTTATAACGGAATAAAAGCTTTAAATAAATTTATTTGTCTTAGCGAATTTTCGAAAAATAGATTTTTTTTGCAGCCATATGCATAATATGCAAGATATTATAACATATACCAGAATATGCAAATACCTGCAATGATAATCTTCCTCCATTTTTGCTTGGTGTTGGAGGACCAGGCTTTTTATATGATATCTAATGATGAACATCAGAAATCATCACAAACATTACGTGTAAGACGACTACATAAAACGACAAGAACATAACTCACCTGAGATTTATCTTTTTTCCTGGTTTTCTGTTCTGGGAGAAGACTTTGGCTAAGACTATCGTTAAAGTTTTCCTCTGTTGAGGATCCTGTCTATAAAAGAGCACAAATCTTTATAATGCGCATAAATGCACAAAACATACAGAGTACTTGTATATGAAATTAACAAAATATTTAATATATGCGATAAAATCTACTTACTTTAATTTCTTCTTCGGTCAAAGTTGGAGGAAGAAATTGCATTTCCGCTGGATAAGATGATTTTAGATGAGGCTTGCAAAGAGAATTTCTCATTTGTAAAACTGACAAGCGGGTAGTATCCGTGATAGGCACACTGCCTCTTTTCATATCAGCTAAAATAAAGAAGATTGATAAGCAAAAAGGGGACAGTGTAATTGAAAAGCAAAATTTCATTTTTTTCAACGTTAGTATCTCTACGATATACAAAATATACCTAAATAAACATTATCAAAGATTTCTTCTTCGTCCTCCGTTCTGAATACATTGCCCATTGCTTGTATGCTTCTAATACTGTGTCTCCTTTCAAGTGTTTCTTCAGTTATAAGCTTTGTTATCGTATGTGCTTGCTGTGCGTTTTCAGGTAAGATTTCTTGAGTTTCCATTCTGTAATAGATTATTTGTTAAATTGATGTATGTATTTTCTTTACAATATATTTCATTTAAGAACAAAATACACAGTGATACGTACGTGCAAGTCTTACGCGAAATAGTGGCGGCTAGTGGTTGGTCCGCTTGGTATTCTTTGATTCTTGTTTCTAGTTCTTTTAAACGCTGGGAGACATTTTGTTTCTGTTGTTGTTCGATTAAGAGTTTTTCCCCCACGTTCCACAGTTGCGTAGTTAATTGGCTAACGTGTACTTTGTACTTATCAAGTTCTTCTCTCTTCTTCTGGCACATTACTTCCATTTGATCCTGCAACCTTTCTTGTATAATCTTTTCTTGATCCTTATTTAACCTCGTTATTTGCTCATTATAAACTGCTTTCTAAAATAAATTTAAAATTAAATTAACGTAAAGCAACAGTACTGGTTACGCGAAATATGATTCTGAAAATTCTAAAGTATAGATATTTTTCTATTTACCACTTTTTCTTTCATGTCTTCCAGTTTTTGTTCATATGTAGCATGAATTTCTTTTAATTGATTTTCAAGTTTTTGCTTTGCCATCCTGTCTAACTCATCCTTTTCTTCACGTAGCTGTTGATTCTGTTCTTTCAAATGTGTCAACTCTTGGTTCTGTTCTTTTAAATGTTCCAACTCTTGGTTCTGTTCTCTCAAATGTTCCAACTCTTTGTTCTGTTCTTTTAAATGTTCCAACTCTTCTTTGAGGGATTGCACCTCAGCCCCTTCGGGGACTGTCAAATTAGCCATTGACACTGTCTCCGACGACTTTAATTCCTTTATCTCCGTTCTGAGATCATCGATATTTTTCTCTAATTTTACATTCCTCAAACGCATCGTGTCCATTTTAGTTTTTAAATCTTTCTTTTCCTTCGTCAGCTGATTAATTTGAGTTTGTAATTTCTTCTCTACCTCTGCTTGATTCTTGATTTCGCCAGATTTTAAGTTATTGTCGTATAAGGTCGCTAAAGTAGCAAAAGATTCTATCTCTTCTTCAGATTTTATCACGTCAATTTGCAGTGTTTTGTATTTCTCAAACTCTACATCAATTATCATTTTCTCGTCAGAAAATTGATCTTCTTCCACATTCGTTAGTAGGTCCAAACACTCTTTCTCGTGTATTGAGCATAGATAGGTATCGTGTAATTTTTGTTCCGTCCACAAAAACTTCTCCCATAAAATATCACATATAGATTTGATGTTCTCGGAATAATCAACTTGACACTTCAACAATGTATTTTCGAGATTTGCTTTCTTAATTTGCAGCTGTTTAAACTCGTCGCAAACGGAACCCTTAGTACAAAACATATCCCGAAAGTTTATCATTATTTCATTCCACTTTTGCTTGGACAATGTTAAAATTTTATCTAAATCTTTCCGCGTAGCGAAAACTTTCTGCAGGGAATCCTTTAAAGATTCCTTACTTTTTATTAGGCTCTTAAGATAGTTATTCCGTTTCTGCGCTATTATTTCCAATTCTCGTATTTTATTCTTTAGACCGGAGATTTCTTCTTTGTCTTTCACACTGTTCTCTGTAAGTACTTTTTGTCTTGCCAAAGTTTCATTCAATTCAACATTTGCACAAGATAAATGCGAGATAATTTTCTGAGATTTGTGTAACTCATCAAGAGTCATCATAATAATATTTAAAATATTAGTGTTATTATCTAGATTAATGCACTTGTACTTATTCTCTATATTAATGCACTGTGGTAAATCAGGTAACTCAAAATCTGAGCACGTTTCCGTAATCGTAGAATTCAAACATTTCGTTGGATATTCCAACTCTTGGCACAATTTTACAATTTCCGCTTGACTCGCATCCATGTGCTTGCAGTATTCCTTACTAGTTTTAAGCTCTGTGCTCATTGTTTCGAGTGCGTCCTGCAATTTCACCATAGTCTTATTTTGGTTATCAAGTTGATTCTCTAGGTCGAAGAATTTCTCTTGGTACTCGAGCAATGACAATTTTACATCTTCAAGTTCTTTATTCAGGATCTCCTTAGAGTTATCAAAATGTTCTTGAAGCTCTTTTATGTACAAACACTTTTCCTTCAAAGCCGCTTCTTGAGTTGTCAAGACAGCATCTTGGCTGGACCGTATTTCTTGGAGATTAATAATTATCTCCTTCATCTTCTTCTCCGTAGTGTTTGCTTCGTTCGTCAGCTTGTCCATTTTAGCCTGTAATGTCAATAATGCCTCTTCTTTTATTTCTATTTCTTTATCTTTAGCTTCAAGTGTTTCTTTATGAGAACACATAAAATTGTCCTTCTCTGTTTTTAAAGCTGAAACGTCTGAACGTAACTCATTAATTTGTACTTCTTTTAATTTTACCTGCGTCATTGTATCGCTCATTTCCTGATGTGATAAACTGAGCTTATCAGTGGTGTCTTTTAACTCGAGTAATATTCTTGCATTATCTGATTTAAGACTTTCCAGCTCATCATTTCTTTCAGTTTTCATTACTAAATATTGTTCTTCCAGCGTTCGATTTATATCATTTAATTTTTGTATATTACGTCTGGATTCATTTAGTTCGTCAAAGAGAATTCTTTTCGTCTCTTCCAAAGCGTCCATCTTCTCTTTCTTTTCTATTAAGTTTTGTTGTAATGTTGTATTTTTCGTCTGAAGTTTTGATAATTCTTCCTCATTACAATTGAAATTATACTCCAACTTCTCTTTTTCTTCTTGTAACTTGTTATAATTTTGATACAACGTGTGATATTCATGTTGCCACTTTTCAAACGTTTGTTCAACATTTTTTTTATATTTACCAAAGTTTTGTTGAATTCTTTCTTTTAGTAATTTGAAATCTTTATTTATGCTCTGTAGCTCTTCTAATTGTGTCATAGCATGCTTCAGTAGTAATTCTCGATTCTTTAAATTATTTGTTAATTCAAGTACATTTTGTTCCAAAACGAGCTTCTCATCTCTAATCTCTTTTAGAAATTCAATTTCCTGCGAATATGCATGCACAATTTCTTTTTGTTCATTCAATAGCAAATCCTTTTGCTTCTTCTCTTCATTGATAATATCTAATTCCAAGACAATCTGCTTATGTTGTTCTTCTAAAGTTATAACGATTAATTGCTGCTTAAGTAAGTTTGTATTTGCCTCACCTATCGTTGTATTTAATTTCTCGATATTACTTTCATATGAAATACGCATCACATTGCAATTGTGTAACATCGTTTTAATATATTTTGTAAGATCACCAAGTGTCGAGTTATTTAAATCATCAGTTTCAACTTGTATAAACTGATTATCACAATGTAAAATATCTTTTAAACTTTCACTACAGTTTTCGATGGAAGCTTTGTACGAATCTCTTTCATCAGTAAGCTTATGAATGCATGCAAAATGTTCTGTTATCTGCGATTTGGTTTCCGCTAGAGTAGCGCCTAAATTTGAAGAAATAATCTTTTCATTTTCAAGCAATTCATTTAAGTTTTTCATGTCTAGTTTTAAGTTGTCCAATTCTGTATTCAGTGCTATATTTGATTGTTCCATCTCGGATAATATTTTCTCCTTAGAGGAAAGCAAATTATTCAAATCTTCAGTTTGAACAACGAGAGTGGCTTTCTCCACCAGCAAATTTGCAACAGTCGTCTTTGATGTATCCAATTCCTTCTGCACATGATGTAATTCTGTCTGTACCTGATCCAGCGCCTTTAATTTTTCCTGCAAATCTCTATTGGAGTCCATCACCTTTCTGTAATCCTTTGTGAGAACGTTCAATCTTCCTTTTAAAGAATCAACTTGAGCATGCAATATAGCAGATTCTTCTTTGGCTTCTTGAAGTTGAATGTCGATCACAGTACTCAAAGCTTCACTAGTTAAAACTTCGCTAGCGTTCAAGGACTTGGCGACGGAAAATGATGTATCATCAACCTCGAAGCTTCGTTCTGGGTTAACATTTTTATTAAATTCTTTGATATGCATACGGAATTCTTCATTCTGCATTCTAAGTTCTATTAATTCTCGGTCTTTTAATTCGGTTTTATTCGTTAAAGATTCCAAGGACCGTTCGCAGTTTACAAAATTTTCTTTGTAATGCTTAGAAGTTCGGCGCGTACAACACAGTTCCTTCGATAGATTATCTTTTTCTATCTCCAGTTTATTAATTTCATCTTGCTGTTTGCTTAATTGACTTTCTAGATCATTGATATACCTCTTGTAGTAATCCTCCTTCAAGTTATTTTCTGTTGTGTGAGATGGCTGAGGGGTCCTTGGTTTGAACCGTTCTTCTTGCAATTCCTTTATTTTCGCCGATTTTTCTTCAAGCTTCTTCTGCAATTTCCTTATTTTATTGTTCTGCCTCAGTATATCATCTCGTAAATCCGCGTTAGTAAAACGTTCTATTGACAAGTTGCACCTCAACTCTCTCAGCTCTCGAGCGCGTTCCGTCAACATCTTTTTGCTACGTCCGGAACGCGTCAAGGGGGAATTGGAAAAGTCCTCGCGGGGCGGTGTTTGGCGACTATCTACGGCTAATGACATATCCTCTACCTCCATGATAACTTCTTTCATAGTTTCCTTGATAATATCCTTGCCAATAGGCAGGACACTCTCGAGGAACGCTTTAACTCTAACTTGCGTTTCGTTTCTCAAGTTGTCGCACATATTATATTGCAGAGAATGATGTATCGCAAAGAGTGTACGGCACAAATGCAACAGTAACAAAGATGTGATGTATACATGTTCCGTGACATCATCTACATTGACTTTAAAAGAAGGATATTCCTCTGAAAAATGGATAATATAAAGAAATATTAAATCTACCAACTATATACACAAACTGGAGTTTTGAAAAACTAAATTGAATTAATATTGTATTGTTCTCTGTACCATAAATTTATGATATAGTTACATTCATTTTTACTGATGCAAGTTAACTTCAATCTCGGTTTAACTTGTGTTTTATTCTCTTCTAGTTGTAAGAATGAGAAAAACATAAAAAGTAAGTTAAATCAAGATCCCAGTTAATCTACAGGCGATTTTTGGCGACTGTTTGGTACATGTACCAAAGTGTACACTCAGCGTCATGAATGCCTTTACACCTGAAGAAAGATACTAAAGACAACCAAGAGGAAAATCTATTTTAATAAAATGAATTGATCTATCGGAATATATTGAACTTAACGGCTATTTTCAGGTGTAAAAACATTCGTGACGTCGAGTCTACAATCTGGTACACGTACCAATCACCAAAAATCGCCTTATGTTAATAGAAGTAGATATGAGGAAACCAGTGAACTCTATACATACTGGAATGAGTGATCTATTGTTCTGGCTGTTGCCGAGAGAGAGGTGCGTTTGGGTGAATCCTTGTCTCCTTCTAGTACTACCTGATTGGATAGTTGCATATAAATGACGACAAGAAGGGCGTCACTTATATGCGATTATCCAATCAGGTAGTACTAGAAGGAGACAAGGATTCACCCAATGCACCTCTCTCTCGGCAACAGCCAGAACTATAGATCACTCATTCCAGTATGTATAGAGTTCACTGGAGGAAACTAAGCAGTATAATAAACATAAGAATATGCACGCTTGCCTTTTATAAATTTCACAATGTCCTCTTGGTCAAAGCTCTCACGCTTCTTCCACTTTCTGCAACATCGATTCAATGACAGCAGGCTTAGATAACAAGTTTGCATTGGAACATAGCAATATACTCACATTAATGTAAGATAATTGATATAAAATGCTCCATCTTGCAATTCCGTTATATGTCGCACCGGTTTTTCCTGCACTTCCAAGCAGTTAATCTGTAAATTTCAACGTTGGCCCATGAAACATTTCTCTCTCTCTTTGAACTACCGGATATTATTTACATAGATGCAGCTTAAAACTCTAGGATCAATAATTACGATGTTATCTAACGATCGAAAGATTGTTTGAGAAATTGCAGAGTCGAAGTAGAGAGATATGAAAAGTTCATTTGCGACGGCGAAAGGGTTCGAAGGACGAGTATGTTTACACGAACTTCTTCATGTGACAGGGACCGCTTTGTGTGCGTTGATTTTCGTCGAACGTTCATACGCGAAATTGTTACTCACCCATTCTAAGATAACTTTCTCCCACAGCTCCATGATTGTCGGGCATCACCGTGTTGAAAACCAACGAAATGACAGAAGCAGGCTCATCAAAGTACGCGACCTCCGTTACTGTACAGTCGCAAATAATCTATAGAGTTCGTTTGATTTTTCGAACAACGGATGCGTCGCAGTGCAGCCAAGAGCCAAGAGAACCCAGAGTCAGTGTTCCTAGGTTTTTCACGCGCGTGCGCGACGACATAAAGGCCTGTGTCCACGATGCTAGAACTTGGACCAAGTTCTTGGATTGAGAAATTTTTAACCAATCAATTTGTCGGTTTTACGGAAAAGCGGCAATTTTATTGGCTATACGTTTCTCGAACCAAGGACTTGGACCAAGTTCTAGCATCGTGGACATTGGGCTTAAAGCCTCCGCTACAATGATTCTCGGTTCTGTCTACAATGGTCGTACAGTTGTATCGATGGTCGCTTGAGCAGTCGCAAAGTAAGAATTGACCAATCGCAGTCGATTATTCTTACGACTACGACTCTGCGACTCGCATTGTAGACAGAACCGAGAATCATTGTAGCGGAGGCTTAAGACGCTAATACGGCTCTGATTGGTTGGAAACACATTAAGAATATACTTAAGATAATTTTAAATATAAGAACTATGAATACCGGCCATAATATAATACAGATTCGTCCTTTTCTATGTGAATCTCTCCCTCCCCCCCCACACCCGCTCAAATAAAGGTAAACGCTCGGTCTAGATATATCATGTCTATGGTTTGAACTCGCCTCTCGTGGGATCGCAGGGGATCGAGTGTGAGCGACGGGCATGGTTGGCAACAATGGCAACACCGTGAAGTGTGCGTTTCAACAATCGGCGATAACCCGGTGTATTCCGGAAGTCCGCGGCGAGAGTTGCGACCGGCGCGGGCGAGTACGGGGTACTCGCGCGGGATCGGAGCCACGGGGGAGGCGCTCGACGAGCATCGTGGCAGCGGATCTCATATGATCGGCCGCGCGGCACCTCGCGTGAAAGCAACCGCAGCAGCGTCATGGGCTTGATCTCAGATCCGCTTCTGTTCGCGATCGCGCTGCTCGACACGGGCTGCGTGCTATTCCTTTTGGTGTATTACGTATCCTTTTTGTCGCCCGTTCGCATCCTGTCGATCCATTCCAACGGCAGCATCGCGAAGCGGTCGCCTCGAAACGCGCGCGAGGGATTTTTTTCCGTGGACGGAGGTTATACCAGAATTGGCAGCCATGCGGTGGCGCCATTTTCAAACTTCCCTCGGAAGTTTAAAAGCGGAAGGGAATTGCGTTGTGGTCCACTTGGTGCTGCAAATGTTTCAAAGCGTTTTTCTCCTTTAGTAAAAAAAAAGTACTTTGATGCATTTGTAGCATCAAATAGGCCGCAGCCTTAGACACATTTGCGCGTATCCTGAATCTTCTTTTATCGATAAAA